GTCACACTACTGTGTGTGGTACAACAACATAGACTAACAGTTTAGATAGTCACACATACTGCTGTATACGGTACAACAACATAGAACTAACAGGTTTAGGTCGTCACAACGTACTGTTGTGTACGGTACAAACAACATGAACTAACAGGTTTAGATAGTCACAACATACTGCTGTATACGGTACAAACAACATGAACTAACAGGTTTAGATAGTCACAACATACTGCTGTATACGGTACAAACAACATGAACTAACAGGTTTAAATAGTCACAACATACTGCTGTATACGGTACAAACAACATGAACTAACAGGTATCTTACACGTATAGTACGAAGATTTAGTATGGAATAACTCGTGGTCAGTATGCACTAGAGTAGTTTGACCTTAATGACCCAGCCAGCTTATTATTCTCGTGAGAAGTACATAAAGAGATAATGTTGACAAACTTGAGTATAGGTTTCAGAGTGATTGTTTGGCGATCGTTGAAGCAAGCTGAATAAAACTACACAGCTCATTGGTTACCGTGATAAACAGTTGCCTAGGTTACGTAATAACTATAATTACAATGGTCACTTCGACATTAAAGTCTCATAGATTACGTAACCATGAGATGTATTGCAGAATATCTTACCATTTCAAAGATACTAGGACTACATCATCAGTAGTTCCTACAATTACCCTTAATCACGAGTGGGTCGCATAATTCCAGAGCACCCCGGGTTTTTCATGATAAACCTAAAACCCTGCCAAGAACGGAATGACCGTTTACTGACTAACCGGTTTTCTCTAAAGGTCATATTATAACACGTGTAGGAATAAAAACTGTGTTTATTTCAAGTTAAACTTAGAATTTCTAATTTACCAGTTATAAGAAAGACTTACTTGTGCAGGGTGACAAAGTTCGTGACGTATGTATCCACGGGAAGGCCGACAGTGGAGATCCCCAGGCCACTGGGTGAGAAACGGGAACATCGGGGACAAAGTTGACTGGTTTTGGCACACCATTCGATGGCACTGTCCGGAATCCTGGAACGACGCTGGTGACTTTCGTCTTGTCAATGTCAAGCAAGCCGTCTACTGTAAAACCCCTCGCCAAGGTTAAGCCGACCTTCGGAGAAGAGACGGGCTGGGGCAACATAGGGCCCACAGCTGACGTCGGAGTGGGAACGTGTTCAGGGCTCGAAACGGGAGAACGATCCGGGTCGCTTTCTCTGTCGTCGGCCAACAAGGACTCCACAGAGAACGAAATCGCTCTGTTTGAAGATTCGCGAACCTTGGATTTCGGACTGGAGAAATCCGACTTGGCACTACTGGAAATAAGTTTGGAAAGCGTGTCTGCCGAGGTAGATTTAGTCGCCATGTTGGAGAATGTAGTTTCAGGCAAAGAACTGAGCTGCATGACCGACATTTATATCTGTTCAGTGAGATTTTGGAGAAGTGTATTAAATACTTCTAGTTATCACTAGAGACATAATTTGAGGGTCATCACTTGAAGTGTTTAAAGTCTAGGAGAGCGATAGCCGTCTCTTTGGGAAACCTGTGATGTCTAATAACCCACTATAGATTTATCCTACTAGCTGGGCGAAAACCGATCTTATTGCTGTATGAGTCTTCAAACTCTATGTATTCTACCTGAATAGACTCTCTTGGTGATTCCAATTTGGAACTAACTAGTAGGCGTGGTAGTGTCAAAGGTGTCCGTTCTGATTGGTTTTCTGGGCACTGACGTTGATAAGTCACGCCCATTGCACGCCTGATACCAAGCGGTGTGGGAACCAGTGCTGATCATGTGAACGCTTGTTCACTTGAGCCATATTAGCTTCATCGCGTCCCGATTAACTGACTATCAGTCATGATTTGTCAGTGACTGGAGGCAGGGACCATCTGAATATTAACCCGTGTGATAAGTGGACCAGAGGAAAGTGTTTGATACTTTGCATATTTATCCGGTTTCATTAAGAATCAGGTGACAATTGATTCTTGTTTTCATTGCAACAAAACTAAAGCAACCGTTTGCTCGCATAACAACATTAGTAAAGTTAATGTGTTTTTGAACATCAAGTATTACTTGACCAGTCCCAATTAAAGTTCGAACTCAACCACTAGGTTATTGTTTCCGAGTATAATATGAGTATAGATAAAGTAAAATTTGTTTTTTATTCTTTGTTGAGATTAGTAAAACAAAACAAAAACCTCTCTATCAAATGCCATTATTCAGTGACATAGGAACGTCCGACATTAATTCCGCAAATGTTATTGGTACCTGATGATGACAAAACCTTGTCGAAACGTTGTACATTTGCTGTCATGTTAAACTTGTATTAAAGTTTTTCTTCATTACCCATTTAAGCCGTCTCCAGCCATTATTAGTCTCAAAGTGGGTTCCTCGTCATCGAATCTTTCTTCCTTCATGTTATGTACGTGTTCGTTACTTCAGGTGTAGGGGATGTTACTGGTAGGACAATGAAACTAACGACTTGCACGTGATCAGGGTTTCGTCGCAGCATTAAGTTCGAGACTCCCTGTCAACCCCTCGAGGCAACTTGGAGCTGCCGACACTACAGAAACCTGACCGGGGGTTCTGGGCGTGCAAGAAGGCTTTGTTGTCTCTCAATAAGCTAATTAAATTGGAAAGTGGGACAGTCCCTTTTCGGCAGCTCCCAACCTAAGATACTAAGGGAAGTGTTACTCTTCAGAAAAAATATAAAAATTAGGAACAAAACGATAAAAGTTTATAGTATAGTTTGGATTGAAGGCTATCACGTGAGGTATTCAGCTTTACAATTGTTATATCGATGATATACAAAACAAGTAAATCACGTGATATGAAACAGGTGAATATATGTAGTCACGTGATACGAAACAAGTGAAGATGTGTATTCTTGTGATTTGAAACCAGAGAATGGTTGTAATCACGTGATATGAAACAGTTGAATGTATGTGGTCACGTGATATGAAACAGGTAAATGTGTGTAGTCACGTGGTATGAAACAGGTGAATGTTTTTAGCTATGAGATATGAAACAGGTAAATGTGTGTGTAGTCACATGATATGAAACAGGTGAATGTATGTAGTCACGTGATATGAAACAGGTAAATGTGTGTGTAGTCACATGATATGAAACAGGTGAATGTATGTAGTCACGTGACATGAAACAGGTAAATGTGTGTGTAGTCACATGATATGAAACAGGTGAATGTTTGTAGTCACGTGATATGAAACAGGTAAATGTGTGTAGTCACGTTGTATGAAACAGTTGAATGTTTGTAGTCACGTGATATAAAACAGATGAATGTGTGTAGCCACGTGATACGAAACCAGAGAATGCATGAAGTCGCCTAATAGTCTTATTTTTCCAAGACTTGTTTTCTTGGGATACAAAGTTTTCTTGATTTCTGTTAGAGGTAAAGTTTTGTTTGTTGTTAAGTATCGAAACCCGGTTTTTAGCGTTATAAGTTTTTAGGGTTGCCGCTAAGCCACTGAAGAGATAAGGGTAAAGTAGTTTTACGCTAATATATCGAAACATATCCTTTAAATGAAGATTGTTAGAGTACCTAGTCTTAGTTGCCCCCCAGTGGCACAGCGGTATGTCTGCGGACTTACAACGCTAGAATCCGGGTTTCGATACCCGTGGTGGGCAGAGCACAGATAGCCCTTTGTGTAGCTTTGTGCTTAATTACAAATAATAATAATAGTCTTAGTTAGTAGCGTAAAACAATGATTAGTGAGTTAAAAACCATAAGTAGTTATGTTGTTAGTTTCTGATAAAAATTCGTCTTATTATTTACAATTATTCAGTTTTATAGCACCTAATTAAAACAACAGTTTGTTAAACTAGCGGAAATGTTAACGGATTATTTATCCTTACAAATGATCTTATGTTTATGTGATCTTGTTTTAGTTTGTTTGTTTTTTGTTTGTTTGTTTGGAATTAAGCACAAAGCTATCTGTGCTCTGCCCACCACTGATATCGAAACCCGTTTTCTAGCGTTGTAAATCCGCACACATACCGCTGTGCCACTGGGGGCTCTTGTTTTAGTCTTCATAAACGTTGTCCATCTTTTTAAACTGAAGCTCAAAACCCAGACTTCGACCACGGTTCAACCACTTGGAAGAAAGTTGATTTCTATAGAAATGTATGAAGAAAATATACTTAATTATTCCAATAATCATTATTAAGAATTAATCGGTCTCTGTCTAACGGACTTTGATTTATGATAAAATGTTAACGCAGATATTGTATTGGAGATTAAACAATTAACTGGAAGACAAGTATTCTAAAAAATACAAAAAATAGAAATCTTGCTTGATTTAATCCGTTCTAAAGAATACCAAAAATACAAATCTTGCTTGATTTAATCCGTTTTAAAGAATACAAAAAAATATAAATGTTGCTTGATTTAATCCGTTCTAAAAAGTACAAAAAATACAAATCTTGCTTGATTTAATCCGTTTTAAAGAATACAAAAAATAGAAAGCTTGTTTGATTTAATCCATTTTAAAGAATGCAAAAAATACAAATCTCGCTTGATTTAATCCGATTTAAAGAATACAAAAAATACAAATCTTGCTTGATTTAATCCGTTTTAAAGAATACAAAAAATAGAAATCGTGTTTGATTTAATCCGTTTTAAAGAATACAAAAAATAGAAAGCTTGCTTGATTTAATCCGTTCTAAAGAATACAAAAAATATACAAATCTTGCTTGATTTAATCCGTTCTAAAGAATACAAAAAATATACAAATCTCGCTTGATTTAATCCGTTCGAAGTCTTGATTTAGCAAGAGTTTACTCGTTTTCAGTCTATTTGAACAAAGAGGTTTCACTTTCTGTAATTATTCTATTGGCTTAAGAATAAAGACATTGTGTATGTTAAGATGAACTTGATTGGAAACATTCTAGATCTGTACCAACAGTCTATAACCTGAGGTGACTGTATGCTAATGGTCAGGGTTATTATAATCCTATAACAACTGAGATAGCATGACAGTAACGACAACAATGCTTCAATTTAGATAATATTCGACTCTAAGATTCCTTGACAAGTTAACTGTTCGTAACGAAGAGGAGAAAAGATAGGCCTAGATATAAGAGATAAATATATTTACTTGACTTAAGTATTCTGCTAATAGCTTTCTTTCGCTCTGGGCCTAAGCCTCCGTTGTATGGCGGCACAGTCTGTAATTGAGCGTGGCAAATTGTGATTGTAGGGAAGCTGGAATGAAGCAGACTATGTAGTCATTTAAGGAACAACAGCTGTTGATTGATTTATATTCCATTAAGTAGCCGTGACAAAAACTCACGCAAATACCACAACTGCAAAATGAACCAATCAGTTGTGCACACACCTGAAGAACAGCTGATAGTCACTGCAATGAACCAATCAGTTGTGCACACACCTGAAGAACAGCCACCGATAGCCACTGCACTTGTCAACTGTCGATGATTTTTATGTGAAATAAGTTTACCTGATAAATTCCATCTTTTAAATATTGTATCATTAAGAAATTCAAGAAAAACTTCAGCTGAAGAAATACTTTGAAAAATAAGAAAGATCGTTTAAGTTTTATCTTTACAAAAACCTTAGTGTGCTTTTATTTTTCTGGTTCAGTCATAAATAAATGTGTTATTAATATACTTTTAACTTAATTGTTAATAGGATCCAGAGTGTGCCCTAGTACTATTATTATAGATAGGTGAAAATCTCAGTACTGTTACTTAATCATATGAAAATGCAACATTAAAAACTAAAGATAGTATACGTTTTACAAATAAAGCAAAAAATATACTTATTAAATATATAAAAAGTTTGTTTGTAACTAAGCACTAAGATACACAATGGGCTATCTGTGCTCTTCCCACCACGGGTATCGAAACCTGGATTCTAGTATTGTAAGCCCGCAGACATACCGCTGTGCCTCTGGGGGCAAAATAAAAAGTTGAAGTCAAAGTTACAATTAAAGAATGTTATGACATAATTAAAGTTTGCCAATAGAATAAAATAAAGATATACTGGCAACGATGTTCTGGATATAACTGGCGTTTGTTTCAGGAAATGTTTAGTACGTTCATGGCCGACAAATAATTCACATACTTCTTGATTGTTTATTGATAAAAAGTCTTAATTTCAACAGACATCTCGTAGTACTAAAACAGTTAATTTATGTGAAACCAATCACGATTTTAACTCGTTCCTTTCTCTCTTGAATATGTAATGTTTATACGGAAATTGAAATAATCTGAATTATAATATAGTAACACGCAAACTTTACAAGGACACTCGTTTATCCAGTCAATTTGAATTTTATTTCTCTTAGAGAATTGCTGAACTGTACAAAATTGTCAAGATATTCTTTAACACTTAATATTTTTTTATATGCGTAGCGTGGAGTGCATTATTGTTTGGGTGAACCCTACCAGAAGAG